GAGAATTAACAATAAGTTTAATTACAAATAATTAGAAGAATGAGTTTTTTAACCTTGGCCCTTTCGTATTATGTGAAATCAAGAATCAAGTTTTGGGGGTTTTGGGTAGTTCTTCAGAGAAACTTGCATCTTCCGTCCTTCCCGATCGAAACCTCTCGTTTCAGGGGACTCCATTGAAGACCCTTTCCTCAAAAGCAATGAAAAGGAAATTTAGGAACGATGATGAATCCCAAAGTTCGTCACTTTCCTCAAACAAAGCCATTCAAGAATCGAGAGTAAGCCCCTCTCCAAAATTCTGCTGCAAAAGCCGAATCTTTGTCTTTCCTTTTGCAGTTATTAATGTGGGTTTGTGTTTCTTGGATTTGTTAGGTTTACGTTAGGACATGACTCAGTGATTTTGTGTATGGTTTAGGGTTTATCTTGATTCCTGCCTCTTCTTCTTCTTCTTGTAATCGGGATCTATGAAATACTGACTAACAACTGTTCGATGAAATGCTTCAATGAATGAGCAGAGCACATCAGAATCGAAATCTTTAAGGACTTCTTGTGGCCTATATATATTAAAGAGATTTTAGGGTTATGAGAATTGTGCGTCTTTCTTTCTCTTCGTTGTGTTCTTCAATTGGTTCTTGGTAGTATTGAAAAGTTCCATTGGTAATCCTCGAGGTTCCGATTATTTTAGCAAGATTTGATGCAATTCTTTTGAATTTGCTATTGTTTCTTTGCTTTTTGTGGATGTATTTGTTAATCTAATCTTATTGCTATACACAGGAGCCTTGTGAGATATGTGGAAGTGTCGGCATTGAGGGTTTGATAATGACGTGTTTCAAGTGCAGAGATACGCGAGAGCATACGTAAGAACATGATGCTCTAACCAACAAACAAATCCTGTTTTATCCTTCTAATCATTCGTATATATTGATTTGCTATATATACTTTACTGTTGTACGTAGCTCAAGGATCTTCTTGTTGTTTCATGGCTTTTCCTTCTTCTTTTTTGTGTCTCTTCAGCTATTGTGCAAGGATATCTTTACCATCTGTCCCTCCCATTTGGTTATGTGAAATGTGCCGGTTTTCGTCTCGCGTATTACTCATACCTGCTGCTGCTGAGGATCTAACGGATATTGAAACCGGTGTTGCGGATTGTTCCTTAGATCCAAAGAATTCTAACAATTCCAGAGAAGAAGATCATGAAACTGCTAGATTAAGAACTAATGATATGGAAGAAGTTGCAGAGGCCGGAATTTCTTTGCCAGTATCGAAAAGCAACTCTAGTCATGAAATCGCTGCAAATGTCAGCTCAGTGATTCATGCACCGTCAGAGCCACACACAAGTTCAGGAGGTGATGAAACCTATCTCTCTCTCATTATTTTGAAGATACGAAAGAGCTTAAAAAGAAATTGATACTTTAGACTTGAGTGGCATAATTTTGCTCACTACTTGAGTTAATCTCCATATTGGTTCAGTTTCTCTTCTTTGTGTATCAAATTATAGAACCTGTCTTTGATTTACCCTGTTAAATCTAAGTGCTTGAAGGAGTCTTTACGAGGTTCCGGTTTTGCTTTATGCAGCTAAAGAAGGCAAGGAGCTGCATCAACTACTTGAGGCCTTTCCTAAAAAACCGAGGAACATTCGGTGGATGAGCAGACACATTTCACAGTCACACCAATCTCTAACAGAAATGCTTCACCAAAGCGTAAACCGAAGACGCTTCAGCTGAAGGGTAAAAACCCTCTTAAAAGTGACACCAGACACAATTTGATATTCAATCTCTTGACAGAAAAATCCTTAGGACAACTTGTAAAAAAAAAACCGTTTTCATTGTAGCTTTTAAGTGTTGTCAATTGTTTCCATTGAGTGAAATTTTGTTAAAATCTTCAGAATTTGATCTCTGAAGAACTAACGGATATGTTCTTGTTGCAGGTACAGAAGAAACGATTAGTAAAGAGATCATATTTTGTGTATATAATTTCTATCTATCTGATTATGATGATACACAGTTTTTTATTCCTTGGCTCACAAGTTACTTTACAAAGAAAAGTGAGATTGCAATTCTTTTACATTTTGAGTCGCAGTCAACGTATATTCTTCTTTATTTAACTCCTGTGAAGCAATGGCTCTTAGAGAAAGATTATAACTTAAAAAATTTATTTTGTTTTAATTTAAACAAGTAGAATAAGTTACCATATCTTTTCTTTATGTATACATATAATGGATTTACAGCTACCTAGAGTTGGATGCATCTGTATCCTTGAGGACTAAAGAGTAAAGACCCCATTACAATTTATGATTTATATCAAAAGCTTTGTTGGAAAAAAAATTAAAGGTAAGTACGAAGTTACGCAGAAAATTGATAAGAGTTGCTATGATGACAATGTATGGACTCATGAATCGATGTTACCAAATTTAGCAAACTTACGACTTCGCTTTCTTGGACTCATGTTGGCCCAACATTAAACTCTATATTTTTAAAAATAAAAATATTGTATGAATTCTCAAAATTATTGACATAGAAAATTGTTACTCTGAGACAAAGAAATAATTTTATGGTTGAATTTCCGAGATATAATGTTAAAGAACATGACGACAAAAAAACATCAAAGATTGAGAATCATTCATTGGGGGCTTTTATGCAAAGGTAAGAAAAGTCGGATCCGTTTTAATATTTATATAATATGAGGGTATGTTTGTATTTAAACAAAAGAAGTGGACTTACATTGCAATTTATCTTCCTAGAAATGTCGTCTTCCTCGTTTCTTCTGACTTTCTCTCTCTTACTGCATAACCTCCCACCTTTGGCACCACTCCACTTTCTTTCTCTCTCTACATTCTCTGTTTCCTTTTCAAGCACAAAAAAAACTCACCGGCGATTTCTGATTTCACGGTATGAAACCGAATCGTTTAGTATCTAAAACCACTTTCTTTCTCATATTTTGCTCTGCTTTCGTTGTTTGTTTCTTTTGGGGGATCATTTTGCTCCTTTCTATTCCGTACTACGCAAGCAAAAACAAGTTGCATTTAGTTTTTCTTTGACGATTTTCTGAAACTAGTGGTCTTCGTTTTTAGCAAGAACAAAAAGAGAGAGGCTGATTCTGTGTTTCCGGTTTATCTCTGCATTTGTTGTCACGCGTTCCGTACTATGAAACTAAAAATGGGGTTTTGTTAGGGTTTTGTAGGTTTGGAATCACTATCGGATTTAAGCCCTAAAAAGGAGAAAGTAATCGACTTTGGTGAGATTTCTATCGTTTCTCTGTCTTTTATTCCCATGCCGTGTTTATTCTTCTGTCTTGTCGGAAGAGTCTGATTCCAGCCTTCCAATTTAGGGTTTTTTTCTCCGACCCTTCAACTTCTCTGCTTGCGAGCATCAGTTTTTCCTCATAAAAATTCGATCTTGTGTCCGACACTGGTTCGTTGTTATCTTCTCTGATTATTCCTGGTTCTTTTGGTGCTTAGGTTCTGTAACTCAATGTCGGGAATCGTCATGACTGAGGCGGAAACTGTAGCGACTTCAAGTGGATGAAAGGTTAGATTTTTATTCCAATTTTGTGTTGTGACATGGGTTCAAGAACAAAGAATGGAGTTTGTGTTCTCGAACAAGTGTTTGCTAATAGAAGTTTTCTGCATCAGATTGTGAGAAGAGTGTCTTTGTGGCCTGACGTTTGTATCTACCGATTCAATTTTAGTGGTACGATTTTAAGTCTTGAAACTAGATTCTTGGGTTGGCTCTTGACTGATTTTTTTGTTTCCGATTTCGTTTTTTGTTGCAGGGTTTTGCCAATTTCTCGTCAAATCTTAGTTGTAAGATGACTCCTGGTCAACGCAGTTTGCCTTCAGATTCGATCAAAGTAGTCCCTGGAAGGAGCAAACTTCGTGTTGAATCCTCAAATCCAGTTGCCAGAGGGAATCCAATGCATAAACCTTCAAAGGTGAAGCTGATTACACCGGAAGAAGCCATAAATCTTTCAACTGGATGCAATCAAATGCCGGTTTTTCCCATTTCTCAACCAAAAAGAAAGCGTGGTCGTCCACCTCTTCAAACACGAAGACCTGTCCTGG